AGTGTATTGATCCTATTCATATTTAGAGTTCGTTTGTGTTAAAGGTTCCCTTTAATCACACGAGACCTGGAAGTAAGGCCATGAATTATTTTAAAACTATATGGTTGATTTATTTTGATAGCATGATATGAAAAAGTCTTTATCGAAGATGTTTTGATAAAGTAAGTCTCATAATTATGAAAACTTTCATACTTAAATGCTATTCAAGTGTAAAGTTCAACACTTTCGACTATTTACAGCATATCGTTTTTCATACAAAAGTTGACAAGAGTGTTCAGACCATGAGTTATGTATTTAATGTAGAAACAGTTAAAACGTACGACATCAATCGTAGATGCATGGTGTCGTATTGGATGGCTACTGGCTTCTAGTTGGACCTCATGAATTAAGGAAAGAGGTAGCTAGAAAAGTCATGTTCAACAGCGGTGTCGAATCAATGAAGATAAGAAGCCGTATCAGTCCGAAATCATGCCAGTTACTGAAAAAGATTCTGATTCAAAGGTTAGACGTTTGAGATGCAACCCATTCATTCATCTTGTCTTCCCTGCAAGGACCACTGTGAGTGACCTGCTGTGTAGAAAGTGTTACCGTTATGATATGTCGTCATGGGTTTTGTAAGTGGATATCACATTTAATAACACTTTTCATCATATATGTCAAAAAGTATTCAATGAGAACGTTATTACTATGTAAATAACAATGTTGTACTAAGTGTAAATCACATACAGCATAGAAAAGATCAAGTTTAACTGCCTATAATTGAGCGTGAATTGTTGCATTAATAACGTTTAGGTAATTTTTTCATTTTACTCGTGATCAGTAAGATACCTAGTGTTAGGTCTATCGAAGCGTGCAAGTCACCCGATTGAGATACGCGCAAAACCGAAGTTTCCAAAACAACGATTTGCCTGCAATAGTGGTTCGTTATTGAATAATACACAAAATTTAGTTAAAAACCTCAACTTGTGGAGTGTCTGGGGCGCTTAAAGGCGTCTTTCAAGTATACAAATAAAAAGGCTTCCCGTAACAATAACATAAAGAATAATTGTAACATACGATAGTACAAAAGACACTTGATAGCTGTGTCTAAATTTAATAGCAGTTTACGAACAACCAAAACCCGAACCAAGAGCAAAGCAATATGGAAACTGTTGCGTTTAAACAAATGCACAAAACTGTGGATAACAGCTACAGTGATTAAGGTATAGTAATTAAAATGACAAATACAATGGTAGGTACAATAAACATTATAAGTATATGTGAACATTTCAGAATCTTACAGTACAACTTGCGTTACAAGATATGTGCGAAAATTGGTAGGAATACAACTGCTTACTGAATGTAAATAAGTAGTATAAAACAATATAAAAAAGAGAGGAAACGGAACGAGTAGGAACAACGTAAGACAATCTTAACACGGCCCCTCAAAGATAGTATGTCTTTCCTTACTTTCGCTGATTATATATTAACGTAAAAACGTTCAGAAGTGACAGTGGTACGATTTACTCTAGCCAAAGTCAATCTGAAAGGTCCCTTTATCCTCTACTGTTCGGTCGTTCGCTCCTTTTAATAAACAAATTTTACGTGTCTCTAATAATTGTACTTTTCGACGTTCTGATCTTCGCTTGTCTCACTAGATCATCTTCTCCTGGGTCAATAATTACCACTAGACCTTTAGGCTAGTTATTTCGTGCATAATTGTCTCCAATAATCAAGACTAGATCACCAACTTGTAAATCTCGTCTTCTTTGTGTTCATTTTGTTCGCGTCTGTAAGAGCGGTAAATACTCCTTTATCCACCGACGCCAAAATGTAGTCGCCAACAGTTGAGCTTGTACCCATTGTCGGGAATAACGCTCGCATAGGTTTATTTCAATCTGATGAATGTGAGGTTTTCTTAACAAAAGTAAATTATTGGGTGACAATGTCCTGAGTTGTTCTGGGTTGCCGTAAACTGGAACTAAAGGTCTATCATTAAGTATTCTTTCTACTTCAGTCAAATAAGTGGTGAGTGTCTGGTAGGACATAGTTTTCTCGCTAGATACGGCGCTCAAAATTCTACGTGTTTCTTGTTAATCTTTCCCATATTCCACCACGATGACTTGCGTAGGGAGTATTGTGATGACATTCTATGTTCCGACGAATAATTTCTTGAGCTACTCTATTATCCTTAAAGTCCGGTAATAGATGTTGTATCTCCTTCTCTAACCCAACTAAAGGGAACACAGATGTAGCTGTCTTAAACTTCTTATCGTCATCAGCAGACTGAATAAAACAATCATCTTTCTAACTCTCTGTTTCTTACTTGATGTGGATAGAACTCTCAGCAGACGCCACTACAGAAGATTTAAGTTTCGTATTTGCAGGGAACTGAGTTGTTGTTGCTTTGACACCAATTGATGACTCGTGTGGTAGTGCCACAGAGTTAGTATTATGGTTCACGTCAGAAACCTCAGCGCAGAAATTAGGAAAATCTGGTTTGGCAGAACACATGGCAGATGTTTTCGAAGACACTAACTCGCCACTATCTGTTGAAGGAATTCTCATACTCATACTTTGTTGCCAACAGATGAAATGATTCAAAACACTAAGCATGACTAGGACAAAGATGTTGGCCACATGGTTGGAGACAGAAAACTAATCTTTCTTATTGTTTTAAAAATATTTTTCTGTTGGTATTTTCGTCTTTTGATTATTAAGAGTTCAACAATAACTTCGATTACTAAAACCATTATTCTTAAAAGTTAGTTTTTCTGTAAATGTCCTCAGAGTTTCTGTATATCCAAAGGAACAATATTTTTGCTGTTGGGGAGTGCTTATTTTCCCTACTTTAGGGATTATATATGCTCCGCCTGGAGTCCCTCCGGGGGCTACTGCCGGTCCCAAGCCCGGATAAAGGAGGAGGGTTGGGCATGGGGTTAGCGACCCCATCCCGTAGAAAACTAACTCGCTAAAAAAACGCTAACCAGAAAAAATTACTCATTGTAGATTACTTAATATTTATTTGAACACATAAATACTGGTACAACGAGGCATGGAATACATATGAGACACAAAAGTCACTTGATTTGTGTGTGGGCTAAGTTACTACCTTGATGCCCAAACCGAAGTGGGTGGTTTTTTATAGGGCCACACCCCGAGCCTTTGACCTAAAGGTCTGATCCACAATGCAGTGCAACAAAGTGAGGAGATGCAATCCCATGGTATCCAGTGAGCAATAATTGGTTCATACGTCATTTGTTCTTTCAGGATACTAGAGCTCATGTACACAATTGGTTGGGAATCAGGATTTTCCAACAGCTTTAGGCGGATCCTCCATATCTATTAACCCGGATAAAGCGCCGGACATTGGCTTTTCGTCCTCTCAATTTCGTAAACAACATCCCTTTAGAGAGAATACAGTCAGTCGTGCTTCCCTGGCACGTAGTCATGTGAAAACTTTTCAAGAGGGAAAGTGGACTCTTTTCACCCTCGGCCATACCAGGGCATTTATAGTAAGATGATTGATTTTTGTTCATTGTCAAAAGTAAACAATGTTTTATGAGACACCACTTTAACAGAAACCATTTCAACAAATTAATTTCATCGTATGTTCAATTTAAAGGAAAGCCGTCCAGTTTATGATTTCAGTGAAAACCTATATATCCTGGACTTCATTTAGTTTTATTCATACAGCATCTTATGTTGTGCCTACTGAGGTCATTTTTGTAGACGGTGAGGGGAAGTTAAAAAGATCACTTTTAATGATTCATTCATAAATTCTTCGCTCTGAATTTTCATCTTTATTACTGACTGTAAAATATTTTATTTACACATACTGTGAATATATTCCTGCAGTTAGCTACCCCTTAAGTTCACATAGAGTTTACTAAAACAACTTTATTTCCTCAGTGGAGTTTCGTTCACTGAGCTGGATAGTTTGGTCCTGGAGTTTTTAGTGTTTTTCTGAACAACATCCTTGTTTTTCAGTGCTGCAAGTGTGCTGTAGTGTTTTCTTTACCGCTTGTATAAGGTTTGTACGCAGTTGCTTTTTTGTGTTCTTCGGTTCTTGCTACTGTAATTGAGAATTTAATCTGTGTGAATCGGCTTCTGATGTACTTAAGTCACCAGTTTTCCTGTGAGGGTTCTGATGTCTAGTACGTCTAAGAATGATATTTTGTTGTTTGACTTCTTTTTTATCATAAATTTTGTCATCGAAGACATTGTCAACCACTTATTACAATGGATACTTAAATATATTATATGACTGTTATGTAACCAGGAAACACAAAAACACTTGAATAGTTTCATCACCTTCAGGGCAATCTGAAGATTGAAATTTCAAGAGTTTGTTTATAAAATGCTACAACGAATTCAAGGTTCTAGGGTTGCTTCCTTAACATCTTTCAAATTCTGTATGTTCAAAGTAAGACACTGTTCTTAGCCTGATATGCACGTTCACATACTGTGAGCGATATACCAGCAGATTGTAAGGGACGATCTAAACATTGAAGGACATCATCATATGGTAATGAAATAATTGACTCGATAGTGAACCCACAAATCATCATTCCTAGTATTAAATAAATAGTTTTTTACTAATTTATGAACAAACATAAGACCGAAAATCAAACCACTGGTAGATACAACCAAAATAAAGAAGTAAACATTGATAGGTTTAAGGTCAACACGAACCAATCAACAACGAGGTTTGCAGGACAACCTGTGAATCATATGTGCAGGAATTTGAACACTTCACTTCTATCTGAAGTTAATACTGATGATATCATTCAGAAGAACGACGAAATCTCCACGACCAAATTATCTAGTTCAGAGGTTTTTTTAGAGTTTAAACAACTTTTCTTCAAACTAACTTATATTTAGTTTTTTTTTTATCAAGAGTTAATTTCAAAAGAATAATTCGTTTACACAAGTAACAGCAAAAAAAAACTCCAAGATCATATCCATTCATTATCATACAAGTGAATGAAACAAAATTCATAAACAGAATGAACATCATTTCAGACTTTAATCAAAGGAACTAATGGTGGTAATATTGATATTGAATGTTGAAATATATCTGGAATTTCTCTTTTTTTCAAAAGTTTTAACAAAGTATTACCATATTCACCATGATACTTTTGTTTGACATCTTCTGATAGATCCATTCCATAGATTACTTTATATAACTTATCTATTGTATGTAAATCGATCTGTAATATGATAAAGTAAGAATGACAAATAAAACTTATTACTTGTGATTAAAATGTAATTACGACAAAAAATACAGGACAAAATGTAGATATTTCATACACATAGTTTATGTTATATCCGAGCGCAGATTAAATCACGAGTAACTTCTGAGACATAATAATTAGATTATGTATATTTATATTCCTCTTATTATAAACTTTATTTTGACCTATAATTTAGTATTGTACGATTTACGGTTCTTAAGTTATGTTCAGTTTATTGACTACTGTCTCCCACGTTCACAGTCACTTTTTGGCTTTATTGTGTACAAATGTTATTTCCTATTTTATGGTGCGTTGCGATCTGTTTGGTTGATATATAAACCCAGTATGTCTGAAATAAATGATTCGATTCGAATACTGGGAGCTGGTACTGTGTACTAAACTCAAGTGAACGGGCCAGACGGACATAGGACCAATAAGGACGCTAGACTGCCCATACCGGTCGAAAGTCATTGGTTTGGCACAGGGCAAAGATTGTATAAGTCGTATTTTGATTGGTGGATAAATCACGTGATAAAAAGCCGGACATAAACTCTTAACAGTTCACTTTATTATTTTAATAAGAGAGAGAGAACGAAGCGATCGCAATCGAACGTCTAAGACCAGATCGATGTAATCAAGAAGAGACAGTAATAAATCTTTCTTTGCTCTGGTAACGTTAAACCTCCTTTTTATTTATTACATCATTCATTATTTCAACTCGTTCTGAAGTTTAAATTAAATCATTGTCATTTTTCTTCAACTTGAGGCTGATTTCAATTCATATCTTTCTTTATTACCATTAATCTACTTTTAGTACCTTCGTTACATAATCAACTAATGGTTGTTAACTTCATAAGTTTAATCACTATTTCAATGTTCTGGAACTTTCCCTCATTAACTCTATCGGGATCGTCGTTACATCATGATACATATATTCATTCTTAATCACCCCCTAATGTACAAGAATTGTAGTGAACAAAAACACAAGTGGGGAGAATCAAATATATCTGGACACAAAATTTCAGAGTATGTCACTATATCTGAGAACCATACAGTAAATAGTTAATTTGCAAAATATCAATCACTTGTCTAAATCTTGACTACTACTTTGTAAATATCAGTCCATCACCTTAGATTGCTTTGTTCATGCATTTTCATAACAATTATTTTCAGTTTCCGTTCTTTCCTTCTCGATCCTCTACTGAAATACATTCTACGACTGACGATCGTTATATACTACTTATCTGGATACAAGTAGCTCACACCACATTATGTCAATATCTGTAATAACGTTGATTTTCAAATATTTTTAGGTTTTAAGCAACTTATGATAACCTAATGAAATAAAATGAATTTATGCTATTCTGCACTAATCTTCGTTCTTGCTCTTTAGAAAAGTAGATAATCAGTAGTTTATAACAATTTTCAATAAAATAACCAATATCAGGTACAAAACGCAATCTAATCTGATTATCAGCTTATTAAACACAGTCTTTAATCTGAATGACACATATCTGACTGAGAAACAGTGAAAGTTGAAATCTCATTCTTAGAGTTATTACATACGTAAGCAAATGATTTTTTAGGCGAAAATCGATAGTGGTTATCATTGGGATCCATGATGCGCGTTTCGTCCTATTTGGGACTCATTCACTGGATGTATCTGCATCCGAGTTTAGATCCGCTCTGGGAATCGAACCCAGTACCGTTCGCCTCAATCGTTTCCGCATTGTCCACTTAGCTACTGAATCCTGTTAGCTACTTGCTTGTGCAATGGGGTGAAGTTTAAATTCATTTGGTGTTGTTTGCTTGTATTTTCTCATTTTTGTTTAGGACTGCTATTGATCAGTCTCTTGTTGGCACATATAAAACAGTTCTGCAAGCTTTATTCTTCCATCCCATTACATTGAATAAATGTAAACATTGAAAATATTTTACGTATTCTGCATAAGCTTACCTCAGAACGAAAAATAAAGAAACGTTGAACACTCAAGCTATCAATAAGTTCTTTATGAAGCTCATCATGGATTAACGTAGTAAAATACATTGGTTTATTAATGGAATAATTATCTAAAATTAAATATACATGGATAAGAGTTTTATTGAACTACATAATGGTAGTCAATAAAACATTATACTAACGATTAATATAATTTGATTAGTGTGATACTGTGATGTGTGCTACTTATATTGACATAAGTAGTATGTGATGTTAGTCGTGAACAAAAGGTCTGACAGCTGAGAGACATGAGGATCAACCTAGTAACCATGGTATTCTGTACTTTATAAAATTTCAGAAGCAAAATTGTAAGATGATAGTTCAATATCTTTTTTTAGTATTCCAAGATTTTCAGGAACTGCTATAGATAAACGATTTTTACAATCGTATTTACTATGTCAACCTGATTTATACTATTGATGACAAATGGTGACATAGTTTGTTCACTCAGTTAATGTTTACTAAATACGGAAAATAAGCCAAACGTTTGTAAGTATAGGGTTATGAAGATTATCATACTTTTGAGATGCTGGCTCAGTGGTCTGTAGGATAGCTGTCCATGCGTGAGACCAAAGGCCTTAGGTTAGATTCCAGCGAGCAGCATCATGGATGAGCACTGCTGAGGAGCCTCGCAATAGAACGGAACGGCCTTCCAGTGCTTCCAGATTTTGAATGGTGATCTAGCATCAACCGGTTCACAAATGTTTAACTGGCTTAAACGTTTATGTTTAATTAGAATAAAATACTTCTTGAAGACAGTTTTTAATTTTCTCCATCATAATTTTACAAAGTTAAATTAACTTAAAAGATATTTTCCAATCTATAAAAACAACTGAACATCTACATATGGAGAATCACTATAGGAAACTATGAGAATTCGGAAAATTGTAAAATTATGCTAATACAGAAGTTCACAAAAAATCTGACAGTTGATAGACATTTGATACTGAGAGAGAAATGATAAGAGGTGAAAGATAGAAACTACTAGTGATTCCAGTTTTATGAAGAGTTATGGAAAGCGATAGTTTGTTTTTTCGAAAATCTCACCAACAAATCTATACTCTAGATGGTGGTTGGAGGTAGTCAATAGGAAACCCTGAACCCAGGTTTCGTGCAACTTGGCACTCTTCAGCAAGGTGTACCTGTAATCTTGTGGGAATTGGTGTTACCTGACGGATTTGATCCCGTGTCACCCAACTTCACAATCAGAAACGTTACCACTTGGTCGATAGCATTCGATCTGCACTAAGAAGGACTTGACACACATGACATTGATCACCACCCAGTGATCAATCAATTGTGATTAAATCTATAGTCTATGCGAAACATAATCAGAAGCTTATGAGAACGAAGATTTCATATACATTGTTAACCAAAAACATTGTGTTTTCATTTTCACTTGATCATACATATTTTATGTACAAATCATTTCTGAAACTGTTACTTGAGAAGAAATATACTCGCTCTCTTTTTGATGGAGTTTTGTTCGCTGAGCTGGATGGTTTGGTCGTCGTTCTTTTGAGCGACATCATCAGCACAAAACGTCTATCTGCTCAGAGAGTAAAACTCCATCAAAATCATTCACCTGCGCTACAGATCTTCTCCACAATCTCATACTCGTTCTCCTTCCTTATTCTGATCACAAATTTAAAATTTGCTAATCGATTTTTTTGAAATATTTTTTCCTTCGTTAATTTTAGATGATCTACGTAGTATTCTGATTAATTCTTACGTGATCTTTATAACAGTATATACTTTTGCTGGTTAATGCTTTTTAGAGTTAGTTTTTCTACGAGACGGTGTCAATAACCCCGTACACAACCCTCATCGTTTATCCGGGCTTAGGACTGGTAATAGCTGCAGAGGAACTCCAGGCGGAGAATAGTTGTTAAACATGTTTAACAACTTATTTGGATGAGGTGGATATTCATGGGTTATTCTATAGTTATTTAGGAGGTATGTTTTTAAGTATTCAACATGAATTAAATGATAATCATAAATTACACTTATTTGTTGGTATATACAGGTAAAATGAGGTTGATTCAATAAAAAAAGGCATACTAGATTGATAATACTTACACACTGCTAATAAAATATCGTGGTGTTGACCCGATGTCCTGCTTTCAAGAACTTCACCAAATTGTCTAACGGGTTTCTTTGAAATTATATATGGATAGAAAGAAATTAATTAATTAAAAAATCAGAAAATATTCAAAGATTTACAATCTGTCTCTAAAGATGGTTATATTTTGAAATATCGGAAGGGTTTCTGTGGAGATTGTAGTAAATTCAATAGTTGAGATCATCAGTCAGTTGAAGCTAAACCATCATGGAAACTTTCGAAGCACTGGACGGCTCTTTTGTCCTGGTACAGCAGTGCGCATCCCTGATCCTGCCTCGCGAGATTCGAACCCAGGACCTATCTGTCTCGCTCTCAAGCGCTTAACATTTAGACCACAGAGCCGGCATCCAAATAATCACGAAGTTAAGAAAATGACATTTATGAATCAACTTGAAAGTACCAGTTAACAGACGTACTTTTCTATAAATCATGTTTAGTTTTTGAAATTGAAATGAATCAAGTTTACATAGACGTTCACCAAGTTGCTGTCCCACATCGTTGCTGAAATCAAGAAGAAAAAATTCAAAGCAACATTCTTCACAGAATTATTTACTAGTGGTTGATAGAAATTATAAATTATCAGAGGATTCAATGTTTTGACAAACAATAGGCTGACATAAGAAATTCCCAAACATATTTCGATTTCGATTGAGATCATAAACCTATTGATGTTAGATCACCATTAAAAATCTGGAAGCACTGTTTCGGCCGTCTCGTTCTGTTATGGGACTCCTCAACAGTGAGCATTCACGATCACGATTATCGTCTTAAGCATCAATAACTTAACTACAAAAAACTTGTTGTTCATAGAGAAACTTTGGAATTAATGTATATTCACTCATCAGTTGTCAGTGAATGATTAGAAATACATAATAAAGTAAGGTTTTATAAAAGTGTGCATTTGTAAAAGAAAGCTACCATAAAATCTTTGTTTCTATAACTAAAACATAGACTGTTATGTGTAATGGATTGAGTAATAGAATATAGTTTCTCTATTGTTAGTAAAATGAGATAATTTACAACCAGATCATTTGAATACTTGTGACTATTTTTCTATGGAATCCTAACGATCACTTTGAGAGTGCACACAAAGAACATGTTCGTTGTTATAGACATTTTTAAGTGACTGTTTACGACAATACGAAATCTCTCAAAAGGTCATTATCTGAAACAATTAATGGTACTTTTGAACAGCATATATGTCAGCTGACGGCTTAAGTAGAGTTTGCCGTGCGACTATAATTTATGGACGACCTTCGGGCGACACCAAAGTGACATTGAGAGTGTCTATCTAATAACTAAGATTAAATGAGTGTTATAAACCAGTGTGAGGAATTCGAATTATGATTTAAAATTGATGGTTAAGGTTAGGAATTAGATTTCGGGTTTTCATCACGAACTAACAACAGCTATAATGCCAAAACACTACTTGACCAAATGGATAAATTAATTTAGCGTTAAAATCCAAGACTTGTTATCTTATATCTAATTGCGTCGTCCATAAATTATAGTCTTGCCAAACAATGACATTAAGATTAGAACATTTTACAGCAGGTGAAAGCACATTTTCTTCCGAATTCCAGTTATCATTTATGAAACAACAACATGCCAAGCAGACTCGATGAAGGTTAAGAATATTTAAGCATCTTAACTGGAATATATTACAATGCAAACAATACTAAAAACCAAAAACGCCTAAATGATGTATAAAATCATAAAACTATTTTTCAATTTTCCCCCAGATATGGACGTACTTCGAATCCAACACGTTCATCAAGTCATAAAATACCTCAACCACTACTGTGTTGTTAACTATCGGTTTACCACCTCGACCTTTTATTGGATATTCTTGTTTAGTTTCATGTTTTCTTGTTTCAACTATGCAATGTAAAATAGATTTTACAGATTCTCCAAATTTTTTCTCTATAGTCTTCCAGATTGATTCTGTAGAATCTGTAATGTAATAGGTAGGATTTGTAAAACTCACTTTATTCATTGAATAATGAATACAAACATAGTATTTGAGGGTAGACTACATTTTAATATTTTTCATTGCATCCTATTTTGTTTTTTCGAATACAGCCCACAAATGCCCTGGTACGGCCGAGAGTGGGGAGAGTCAACTCTCCCTCACGAAGCGCTCTCCCATGGCCAATTACATACAACCACTGACAGGAAAGTCCTACTCACTGCCTTCTCCCCACCGTAGTGTTGTTTACGAAATCGAGAGGACGAAAAGCCGATGTCTGGCAGGCGGTTAAACCGGTTTGGTGCATACGGAGGATTCAACTAAGAGAGTTAGAAAACCCTGATTCCAAACCAGTATTGTACATGGTCTCCAGTATCCTGAAGGAATAAATGGCATATGAACCAATCGTTGGTCACCAGCTACCACGGTGTTGCATCTGCTGACGTTGTTCTACTGCTTTGTTAATCAGACCTTTAGGTCAAAGGCTCTGAGTGTAGCCTCCTAACTAAACCACCTATTTCGGTTCGCACACCCGGGTAGTATCCCAGTACTCAAACATATCGAATGATTTATGTGTGTATCTCTGTATGGTGCCATCTTGAACCACTGTTTATATGTTTAAATTAGATAAATAAAATTTCCGAATACAAATGTTAACACAACCAATCTGAAATTATTGAGAGAGTTTGTTTACAATTTTGAATAATTAAATTACAAAGTATTCAGATTATAATAGATGATATCATCTGTTTTGAGGCTAAATATAAGTTCAACGTTTAAACAGTACAGAGAATGAACTTTCAGAACAAACGCACTACAATACATTGATAAAATTTAAGGATAAATTTCATGAGAAAAGTAGTCAGAAGAAAAGAATTCATTTATGCCTAACAGGTATTCATAAGCTAGTGTTATCGTTCAATCAGAATTTTCTGTTCATTTCTATTAGTTGTTGTTTAACATCAGCAATTCTTTTCTGTCATAAGGATTGTTATTTATTTTGGCTAGGGTTAGTGATGAGACATAAGATACATAATTCATTTTAATTCGCCCTAATCATCTAGAAGTAAAGTCGAGGATCAGTAAAGCATGTGCCGCATTCATATAATTGGAGAACATATGGAACTCAAAAGAACCGTCAACAAATACCAAAGTCAGAATCTTCAATATGAACATCAAGACAGCTCTTTCATATGAAGCAGAAACTTGACGAACTACTCCAACCATCATCAAGAAGGTACAGGTGTTTATAAATAGCTGTCTACGCAAGATACTCAACATCCATTGGCCGGAGACCATCAGCAACAGTCTACTGTGGGAGAAAATACACCAGCTTTCAAATGAAGAGAAAATTAGGAAAAGACGATGGACACACATTACAGAAATCACCAAACCGCACCATGAGGCAAGCTCTAACTTTAAATCTTGAAGAGAAGCGGAAACGCTGAAAGCCAAAAAACAAATTACGACGGGGAATAGAAGCACATATAAAAAGGATAACAAGTGGAAAAAGCTGGAGAGGATTGCACAGGACGGGGTTGGGTGGAGAGTGCTAATGGGTGACCTATGCTCCTCCACGAGGAGTAACAGGCGTAAAGAAGTAAGTAATCATCTAGATGGACCTGAACATCATTGCTATAGTTCACAATTGAACACATTAACTATCAGTTGGAACACTTACCTATATTTCCATTGGATACTGAGTTCAATAGGTTGAAGGGTGTAATACTTATTTCTAGTAGTTTTGCCAATATAAGTGGTAAAACGTTTCACTTAACTAGCCGACTTAATCCAGAACAGTGCTCTCTATTCCACTTTTATATAACATGTAATGGTAAAAAATCAAATAATAAAAAAATAAACCTCTAAAATTTACTAACATATTTTATAAGCAGTTTCCACTTGATCAAATTCATCACCCCAGAAATCAATCAGTATACTTGTCGTTTTTCGTAAATTGGAAGCAATTATTGCAGTGTACAGCTCATCAGCTAATAATATAGATGTGTCTGTTAGTAGATCTTCAAATAACTGTTTCATTAATCTCGATTTAAAGCTTTCTCTTTCGTCTAGTAGAGACTAAATAGTAAAGAAAATAAGAGCTTTAGTAATATTTTAAACTAGGGTGACCAATGACTGCTCCGAAACTTCCTGTTAGACAGATCATTCAACAGGGTGTTTCACTCCGTGGTTCGAAAAAATAGTGGGTATCGATAAACGTCTGTCTTTTTTGTCGTAGTTGACTACAGATAATCACATAAAAAATTGAGAAAGAGTTACTGTGTTCTATTGTAGCTTTCATTTGATAATCGTACATGTAGAAAGCAATATGCATTTCAGCTAGGAATCACAATCTTCGCATCTTAATTAGTTAGAAATTAGTTTATCAATTATGATACCAGTAAGTTGAAGTGAAGAAATAACCATTTTTAACAAGACCATTTGCACCATTTGAGATTATGCAAGCTTTTTACAAAGATGTCTTAAGCAGTTACGTTTACTTAATTTCGATGTAAGTAATGAAGCATTTATCCGTCGTTATCTACAGTCTACTTGGACATTTCAAATTAACATTCATTTGATGAGACAGTCTTTAGTTTTTCAAGCTTCTGAAGTCATTCTCGAGGAATTGTTGAGGTCCGTTAATAGGTATCACTGATTTTCGTCATGGGAACTTAGTAAATTATCTATCGTTATATATATATATATATACATGGGTTCAAAGGTAATTCCTGACAAATACCAATTAGAAACTGCATGATGAGTAAACGTGTTGTCAAGTCACAAGTCTACAGACTATTATAGGCTACTCAAAGTATTTGTCTCAGGGGAATTTTGTTTGTATTTAGTGAATGAGAATACAAGTAAAGCAACAGATAAACTGTTTACTCGAGTAACAGAATATGGAACAAGCTGTAGTCAATTTACGTTAGTTGTTTAATTCTTACCATTGATTTTATGGTCTGACACTTACACCAATATGAGCAAATTATTTATATATTAATTCGGTACTAGTAAAAATAGGTTTATCACTAACGGACCAATTATATAGACATAAATAGCACCTACATGGAACTTTAGATTATTTCCCATAATTCACTTGCTATTGTTTACTTGAATCTTCTGATTAATGTTTGGGACTGTAATTGATCAGTCACTTATTGGCGTATGTGCATACTGTGCGTATTGCCTCGATATTTCCTTAATTCACAATCATTATAAGCAAGGTTGGATAGTGGCTAGCAGTGGAATCCAGGAAACGCGAATGGAACTGGGTTCGAGTCTCAGAGTGAACATCATCTATGATATGCAGGCTCATCCAGCTGACGAGTCCCAGATAGGACGAAACGCGCCTCCTGGATTCCAGTGCTAGCCACTACCCATATTTCTAGTAATTATTTTCAAATGTTATCGATCAGCAAGTGAACAATCTATAATCAGCATACTTGATTTAACTACCCAAAGAGAGGTAGGAATTCCATTTTAAAGAATGAATAACTTATGCAAGGATATAGGTTAGATAATAGATGAATACCTACTAACGACGTGTACAGTCTATTTACGTTAAACCTTAATTAAAGTATTTGCTTGGCTTTAAAATGCTTGACATTAAAGTTATAGAATCAAGAATCAGCTTAACATTCTACGATAATAAAGAGTTAGCGCTTAACGTTTTACCGCTTCTTCTGAAATACATTTAACAACGATCTGAGTACAAAACATTACTACACAGTATTTAAAAAAGACATCAGATACAAACTTTTTTAAAAATCCTGTTGTACCGATGCACAATATTTTGTCGTTCTGCATTTGGTCTGGACGATAGAATTTCCATAATCATCTCTGTTTGCTGATCTGTGGAGTATCAAAGAATAATGGTTTATTACATTCATCAAATTGTAGACACAGATATATGAACGAAAGACTGTCTTTTAAGCGAGTGTTCATTACGTACTAAGGTTATAAATATAAATTAATGTTCCGAATGATGAATGCAAGTTCAAGGAGAACATTGTAGAAGCCACAGTTTATGAGACCAAGGCTTATTATAAGTATAGGTTTTTGTCGAGGTCACAGAACTTTCACAACTCCGCCTGTAGCTCTTCTAGAGTTACTGCCGGTCCCAAGCCCGGGTAAAGGAGGAGGGTTGGGCATGGGGTTAGCGTCCCCATCCCGTAGAAAACTAACTCGCTAAAAAAACGCTTACCAGAAAAAATAATTCAAACCATTTTAACTCTGCCCTGAGAGTTAGAAGGTCTTCATTTAGAAGAATTATGACGCTTCATGGTGAAAGCCGAGTTCCTTCGGAAGCCACGAGGCCGATGCCCCTTCTAACAACCAGAGCAAAAATTTTTATAGGTACATGGAACGTCCGAACAATGTGGGAAACCGGGAAGACCAGTCAAATAGCAATGGAAATGAGGAGATACAACTTAGCAGTACTGGGGATCAGCGAAACTCACTGGACCCAAGCTGGACAGAAAAGACTAGCTACGGGAGAGATGCTGCTATACTCCGGTCACGAAGAGGAAAATGCTCCACACACTCAGGGAGTTGCTCTAATGCTGTCCAAAGTAGCACGAAATGCACTTGTAGGATGGGAATCCCACGGATCCAGAATCATCAAAGGATCATTCAAAACAAAGAAGGAGGGGATCTTAATGAATATTATCCAATGTTATGCACCCACCAATGATAGCAACGACGACATTAAAGATCAGTTCTACGAGCGGCTGCAGTCAGTCATTGAGAAATGCCCAAGAAAGGACCTCACCATTCTAATGGGAGATCTAAATGCCAAAGTCGGAATAGACAACATCGGATATGAAGATATTATGGGGCAACATGGACTGGGAGAGAGGAACGAAAATGGAGAAAGATTTGCAAATTTGTGTGCATTCAACAAATTAGTCATAGGAGGCACAATATTTCCACACAAGCGTATACACAAGGCTACATGGATCTCACCGGACCACACTACAGAGAACCAGATAGACCATATTTGCATCAACAAAAAATTCCGAAGGACAATGGAAGATGTGAGAACCAGGAGAGGAGCTGACGTAGCTTCAGATCACCACCTAGTTGTAGCCAATTTGAAACTGAAGCTAAAAAAGAACTGAACAAGTGGACAAACAGCAATACAAAGGTTCAATACAGCCTTCCTTCGAGATACTGTCAAACTCAATGAATTCAAGATAGCTCTCAACAACAGGTTCCAAGCCTTACAAGATCTACTGAAAGAAGAAGAAACTACTATGGAGGACAACTGGAAAAGCATCAAGGAAGCATTAACTTCAACGTGTCAAGAGGTTCTCGGTCTAAAGAAATACCATCATAAGGAATGGATCTCTACAGAAACACTGGACAAGATCAAAGAAAGGAAGAACAAGAAGGCAGCAATAAACAACAGCCGAACACGAGCAGAGAAAGTCGAAGCACAAGCTGAATACATAGAAGCAAACAAGCAAGTGAAGAGGAGCATTAGAGCTGACAAGAAGAAATACGTGGAAGAATTAGCAACGACGGCAGAAAAAGCTGCTAGAGAAGGAAATATGAGACAACTTTACGATACAACGAAGAAACTAGCAGGGAAATACAATAAACCAGAGAGGCCGGTCAAAGACAAGGAAGGCAAGCCAATCACTGAAATTCAACAACAGCGTAACAGATGGGTAGAATACTTTGAGGAACTCCTGAATAGGCCGGCTCCTATGAATCCACCGAACATCGAAGCAGCACACACAGATCTTCCTATAGATGTCAGCCCACCAACGACGGAAGAAATTAGAGCGGCCGTCAGACAAATCAAGAACGGGAAAGCAGCAGGACCCGACAACATACCAGCTGAAGCACTGAAATCAGACGTCGAAGTAACCACAAGTATGCTTTACCCTCTATTCAAAAAGATTTGGGAGGAGGAACAAGTGCCAATGGACTGGAAAGAAGGACACCTCGTCAAGATTCCAAAGAAAGGAGATCTGAGCAAATGTGAAAACTACAGAGGCATAACACTACTGTCAATACCAGGGAAGGTCTTCAACAGAGTTTTGCTGAACCGGATGAAGGATGCAGTAGACGCTCAACTTCGAGATCAACAAGCTGGATTCCGTAATGATCGGTCGTGCACAGACCAAATTGCAACACTACGGATCATCGTCGAACAATCGGTTGAGTGGAACTCGTCACTATACATCAACTTCATTGATTATGAAAAGGCATTTGACAGTGTAGATAGGAGGACATTATGGAAACTTCTTCGACACTACGGAGTTCCTGAGAAGATTGTCAATATTATCCGGAACTCATACGACGGACTACAGTGCAAGGTCGTGCATGGAGGACAGCTGACAGATGCATTCCAAGTAAGGACCGGGGTCAGACAAGGCTGTTTACTCTCTCCCTTTCTCTTTCTTCTGGTGGTCGACTGGATTATGAAGACCTCGACATCTGAAGGAAAACACGGAATACAATGGACAGCTCAGAACCAATTAGACGATCTGGACTTCGCAGATGACCTAGCTCTTATATCACGTACACACGAACAGATGCAGATGAAGACAGCCAGTGTAGCAGCAGTCTCTGCATCAGTAGGCCTCAGTATACACAAAGGGAAAACGAAGGTCCTCAAATTCAAAGCGGAAAACAGCAATCCAATCACTCTTGATGGTGAAACTCTGGAAGATGTAGAATCCTTCACATACCTGGGAAGCATCGTCGATGGACAAGGAGGTTCAGATGCAGACGTAAAGGCGAGGATTGGCAAAGCAAGGGCCGCATTCCTACAATTGAAGAACATATGGAATTCAAAACAACTTTCAACCAATATCAAAGTGAGAATCTTCAATACGAACGTCAAGGCAGTTCTACTGTATGGAGCTGAAACTTGGAGAACTACAACAACCACAATCAAGAAAGTACAAGTATTTATAAATAGCTGTCTACGCAAGATACTCAACATCCATTGGCCAGATACCATCAGCAATAGCCTTCTGTGGGAGAGAACAAACCAACTTCCAGCTGAAGAGGAAATTAGGAGAAGACGATGGAAATGGATAGGACATACATTACGCAAATCGTCAAACTGTATCACGAGACAAGCCCTAACTTGGAATCCTGAAGGGAAGCGGAAAAGAGGAAGGCCAAAGAACACATTACGTCGGATAATAGAAGCAGATATGAAAAGGATGAATTACAACTGGAAGGAGCTGGAAAGGATTGCCCAGGACAGGGTTGGATGGAGAATGCTGGTGAGCGGCCTATGCTCCTTCACGAGGAGTAACAGGCGTAAGTAAGTAAGTAAGTAACAGAACTTTCACAACTTAAATTACATCCATTTGAATTCAGAAAATAATGAACATCCGTTTCGTCCATGAATTTATACCCTCTGTAGTTCAAATCCACGATCTTGACACGGTGAGTATAACTCTTGATTTGTAGTCTTACCTTCCAACACCTGGTCTTATGATCACTCGGCTGATATCCAGTCTTGAACACGTATAACTCCAATTAATTCATTATACTGCGCAACTATCTTATGCTAAATGTGGTTGGTAGCTATCTCACATCAGTGTTGCCATACTTCATCGGATATTTGCGAAGTGATTTTAAAATGATCTCCAACCATTATTTATAGCCAGAATTGGTCTCATTTAAAAACTCGGTTTATGTTCACACCGCCCTAGATATATGCCAGTTCGTCAACATCATCGGAAATGTAAACATTAGTCGACAAACGGTGATGTCCCTATATGTAAAACGCTTATTTGCAATTTTTTCTCCCACAAAGAGTTTTAAACCCGTCTTTACCCTACTAAGAGATCACAATAGATATATGTGGTGTATATTACTGATGTTCATAGATATCAGTAGTATGTAGCACCAATCGGAAGTGGAATTTATGCTTGCAAAGGATTAGGAAGATTCAATTGAAGAAAGCAGAATGGAAAAAAGAAAGTATAACTGTTAAAACAATGAAATCAAAAGAATAATGAAACCTGTATAGGACAACTGATGGGAGATGTGAAACCACTTTGTAATTTTGCATTGAACAATAAATTGGTCTTCCCCACTTGAGTTTTCGTATTTTTACTCAAATATCCTATGAATGTTGGCTTTATATTCAAAGGTTTAATATGTAAGAAAATAGATTACGCCTAAAGTGTTTATTCGCCAGACTTCATATTAGCTGAAATTTCAATAACTGGACAAAAAAATGTCTCACTGACACAGTATATTAAGAACTTCTCCATTCAACAGTTGATATGTGGGCGATATGTTCATCCTTTGTTAAGATCACAAAAACCAGGCAAACATTCTCAAAAGACTAAATAAGTGTCATTCACCCACCGAATTCACATCCAAAGAAGAACACCTGAATAACATTTCTAAATGTTTTACTTAAAAATTGAGTAATTAGGTCATTACAAAAGAAAACAAACGTAAATCTTATTAGTTTTGCTCTTCTACAATATTAAAGACTGCTATTTAGACCACATAAATACAGTCACTGGAAAAACAAATGCAGTACGTATTGCTTAACAGAAAACCAGTACATCGAAAGATTGATAAATAAGTACTTAGTCAAGAAAATAGAACAAAATGAAGCATTATTTGTGGGAAATATGCCTCAGGTTTATGAGCCCACCATTTAGAGGTAACGCATTCAATGAGATGGTAGTGCTAAACTAGTACAATGCATTTCACAGAAATTTTAGTGCAGTATAGCTTTAATCCATCTATTCAATGCATCCGACAGTAGCTACTAGAGTAGAAGATAAATTACTTAGGTTGTCCATCTTTTTCTGTATTTATCAGTTCATCTACCGCTGTAGATCAAGTTACATAGACAACTGTTCTAGGAACTCGTACTGTTGTGCTCAAAATCACATCCCAGTAGGTTTAAGGAAAGGTATTGTAGTATGTGCTACTTATATTGACATAAGTAGTATATGATGTTAGTTGTCGAAAGAAGGTCTGTCAGCAGAGAGACAAGAGGATCGAACAGTAAAGAATGGAAACAGAATGCAATTTGTATGAAAATATTATTTACATTTATGCATATTATTAGTAGTCTTATGACATCAAATGACTCGTAGGTCGAATCATCAAAAGTTTGTTTACTTGTAATTTGAATATTTACAATCTCAACTGTACTGTATTACACCAACAAACCTAAATTTTATCAATATTAACTTATTGTAACATTTTAACATAAAACATTTACTTTTGCTTAGCATAAATGATAATATCCATTTACCTTTGGTAGTATTTCCTATTCTGTAGACGTCTTCATCAGCCGATGTACCATAACTAAATACCTTTGGTTCATAAAGAATTCCATTTATATTAACGTGATGAAGAGGTGAACGAATGAATGGTGGTCTAAAATGATAGATAACTGTACTGCTTTTAAAATTCAAAAGATAAAATCCAATTTAAAATCTATCTCTTTAATAATAACATATTCCAGATTGAGTGTTCCCAAATGCTCTTGTACGGCCGAGAGTGGGGAGAGTCAACTCTCCCTCAAATGACCACTTGCATACAACCACTGACAGGAAAGTCCTACTCCCTGTCTTCTCGCATCATGTGTGTTGTTTACGAAATTGAGAGGACGAGAAGTCGATGTCCGGCAGGGGCTTAAACAGGTTTGGTGCATATGGAGGATTCAACTAAGAGAGTTGGAAAACCATGATTCCAAACTCATGGTGTACCCGAGCCTCAGTATCCTGGAGGAACAAATGGCGTACGAACCAATCGTTGTTCACCAGCTAACAAGGGACTGCATCTTCTGACGTCGCTCTACTTATTTGTGGATTACACTTTTAGGTCAAAGTCTCCAGTTGTGATCCCTTAAGAAAACCACCTACTTTGGTTTGGGCACACTGGCAGTATCCTAGCCCTTACAAAAATCGAATGATTTGTGTGACGCGCATCTATTTGTTGCCTCCTTGTACTAATGTTTATGTGCTTAAATAGATAAATAAATAAAAGTTTTAAAACGCGGGGATACGAAAGAAAGCTAGTTAACCAAAGTTAAAAGTTATAACTATTTCTTGTAATAACACTTATTGACACACAATCGACAGGATTTAGGTTTATCAATGTATAAAATTAAGATTATAAGCATGTTTGGGCTACATCGTTGAACCTTCTATGAAAGATTTACTTTTTGGATCCTAGTGATAACTTAACAGTTTTAAATTGAACCCTCAACAGAATATTATGATTCTCATATTACAGTTGAAAAATCATTTGTTTCAGTGTTAAAAGTATATTTCATTGTTCAGTCGTCTTTTAGTTGTCAGTGACAGAACTTGAAGTAGATTCAAAATGTACATTTCAAATAATATATAAACCGTTTTTTAAAAAAACGTTTCCATGAATTGACTGTGATCCGGTTCTGATTGGATTTGTAAGGAAATGATCGGTTCTGTTTTGCAAAAAACTATGATTAGCGCTTAGTGACTTTGAAATGAATTACTGCCTCAACGTTATATGTTCATAGTAAGCATTTTATCATAGACCTCTATATTACTTAACAAGGAATATGTTTAAGGTTAAGGTTAACATTATTAACTGATACGATTCGATCCGCACTTAGGACACGACGTACATGACATTGATCACCACACTTTGATAGCTCAGTGGTAACCCCTCTGACTGTGAAGCTGGTTGACATGGGATCGAATCCGTCAGAGAGTATCGGTTCCCTCAAGATAACAGGTATACCTTTTCTGACGAGTGCCAAATAACAGGAAACCTGGATTCAGGGTTTCCAGTTGACTACCTCCAATAATCATCCTATATCGACATAATGTATGCAATGTTGAGTCATAAAGACTACTGACCACATTGCAACTTGGTCTATAGGATTCAATTTGCACTAACAAGGACCTGATCATCACCCAGTGATCAATTAATTGTAGATTATTCATCACCATTTTGTATTTTGAACAGATTGACAGGTCTCTCATTACAAATCAGATTGCATTAAAATCGTTTGATATTTTTCAAGTATCTGACAGAACAAAGACCTAACGACGTTAAATAACAACTGTTTGTCAGCTAAAAATATAAAGTCTCCAGTTCTTCAAATACTCGATCAACGATGACATCTTAAGTAAAGATACATGTTGAAAACCTTTCGTAATTGTTTTTATTTCTAATTTGGTATTTATAGAGTGAAGACAACTATATTACTCATTGGCTGTCTATAGCCAGTCACATTATGAGAGAAGTTATCGAAGTTTAGGTTATAATTAGAAGTTTAATAACATTTTAAAAAGACACTACACAATCTGGTTTGGTACATTAGTCGAAACAACATATTCATATATGTAAAGTAAACGAAATTGTAGTTACTGTGTTAGGTTCTACAAATCGGAACAAACTATCGATGATTTTCAGCCGTAGTGTCGGTTATTAAGTTGAGCCCATATAATTTATTATAGCTTTCGGACAATCAAATCTATTCATTCCAACTAAGTCACATTTCGACCTTGTTAATTATTCGCTTATCAATCTTCACTGTTTTTATATGAGCGAATATGTGTGCCCTTCTTATCTTATTCATCACATGTATGTGACATATTTTTGTGTGACTATAAATGTAGATTGACGCTTGGTTAAATGGAGTTGGCTTACCCTCCATTTCTAGTGCGCGTCATTTACCTTCGCTCTCTTTGATCAGTATTTGACTTATTTAATTCCGATATTCATTAACGCGATTTATGTCGATGACTAAATACGAGGATTGACGATATGTATGTCTTAATAGCAATCAGAAACGATGAAACTGGAGTCAGGTCCCGGGCTACTAAGGATCAAACAATCTACTTTTGATGATGTCAATATATAATTTTCATTGGATATTTGCATTCCATTCAATCATAATTCATATTGTGAAGAAATGAACTCTGTTACCGATTTTTAGTATGGGTTGTGAAGGTTATTAAGTTTTTGATTGAGATAACGAGACGATTGATGTTAGTCCACCATTGAAAACCTGGAAGCACTGGATGACCATTTCGTCCAGTTGTGGGACTCCTCAGCAGTACGTATCCACGATCCCCGTTGCCGGATTTGAACCCAGGGCCTCCAGTCTCCCGCGCGAACGCTTGAACTCTATACCACTGAGTTTGCTGGCATCCAACAGTGTTAATGTCCAACCTCTAACAATCCACTAAATTGCGCGACCACGTTCTATTGTACTGAAGTAGATACTTGTCTCTACCAGACGCGGATTAGTTTCAATTTCACTGTTCTGACATATAATGTTATCTAATCAAATTGATAATGTATCCCTTATTACGTTTATGATAAAATATTAATCATGGATCTGTCAACATGAATTCTGATGAATTTACTCATAGCCATTTTAACTCAAGTATTTCTAGTATTTTAATATTCAAGTAGATATTCCAAATATTTTCTATGGTATAAATGACTACCTTGATTGAATATTTACTCAACGGTGGGAATCAATTTTTGAAAATAAAGATACATTTTCGAATTTAGAATTAGTATTATACTGAATTATTATTAAATATAGATGGAAAAGAAGGTCAAAGAACACACTGCGTTGAGAATTCGAAGCAGACATCAAAATGATAAATAACAACTGGAAAGGATTGTTCAAGACAGAGTTGGATGTAAAATGTTAGTGAGTGGTCTATGCTCCTCCACTAGGGGTATCAGGCATATGTAAGTATGTAGGAATTAATGAGTGCTATATAATAATTTCAACGATCATACGTCCAACTGGACATTACAGAAACTGTTTCAATACATATGAACTTACTTTTCTTCATCATGAGACTGAAATTGAAATGAAGATGAAATGTTTATCAGTCAGTCAAGAAAAATTGAATATAGTCGGATTCATTGCATAACGTTATTCTGTTTCCATAACTCATATTAACATTAGTTAGCTATTAATAAACGTGCATAAAATGAGAATAAATGAAGATTCTACTATAGCAAGTTGTATTGATATTTCGGCGAGACTATAATTTATGGACGAACCAGTCGGATATAAGATAGCCCTAAATCTACCCATCGACTGTAAATCATAATTTTAATTTTTCACATTGGTTTATAACCCTCATTTGGTTCTAGTAATTAGGTGAACACTCTCAAAGTCACTTTCACGTCAGATTTTACTATGATATTCTGTAATTTTGTGTTCAAAAGCATTCAATTGTCCACACTTGTGTTCACGTTCACTACAACATGATACATTGTCAAAAGTGTTGGTTAAATGCATCATTATCTAATATAAGTCATATTCACAATCACAATATAGAACATTTAACGTTATTAGACGTATAGTGTATTTGTATCAGAAGCGTTTTCCGTGTATATTATAGTAATTTCAATAGTTGAGATTGAAGCTAGACCACCATGAGAGACCTGAGAGCATTGGATGGCTGTTTCATTCTATTGTGGGACACTTCAGCAGCTCAAGATTCGAACCCAAAACCTATCGTTCTCTCGCGGTATATTTACAAAAATTATTCATAACAGTTGAACTTACCGTAAGTAGCATTAATATAATTTCTGTTAGAATAAGATGTAAACCATTTAATAAATCTAATAACATTTTCACAACGAGTCAGTTACATAAATGATCACATCATAGTTTAATATGATTTAAATTTATATCAAAAATTGACCAATCACAAATAGCAGGGTGTAAATAGTTAAGATGACGAATTTCATTCCATAGATGTAAATAAACAATCATAATGATGTTTTGAAGTTGAAATTTTAGTGCATGAAATATACACAATCCTGTTATGTTCGTATATATGGATTGATTGTTTTAGATGTAAACAAAAATATCATCTGATCGAGATCATACCGATGTTTGTATTGTTTATTTGCCTAAATGTAATTGTGTACAGATCCGGTGTAATCTTACAAATTATTGTTTAAATATGATTGATAATATTTGAAATATAAATTTTTAAAGTAAAGATGGATAGTGGATAGCAGTAGAATTCAGGATGCGTTTCGTCCTATTTGGAACTCGTTAGCTGGACGTAACTACATCCCAGACTTGTTGATGTTCACCATGGGACTTGAACCCAGTACCGTTCGCTTCAAACGCCATCGCGATGGCGAAATAAAAATTACTGGATTCTACTGTTAGCCACTATCCATATTTGCTTAAAAGGCTTGTGAATTAAGGCAATGTTGAGGCAATTCGCACAGGATGCACATATGAGACTGATCAATTGCAGTCCTAAATAACAATGGGAAGATACAAGCAAAACAATACCAAGTGTATTGATAAGACTTTTGTTATCATATTTTATTATTATCACTACTGTCAGTACATCTATCTTCTTACTATCAAATCGTACTTTTACCTATTATGTGCGGTGACGTAATCTGTTTCTCATTGTGATTAATCACTCAAATTGACTTGATTGGTTCAACATTACCGTATAAATATTCATGTATATTAGAGTAAAGCCTAATGACGATCTAATTGAAAACAATTGTTCGCTTACATGTGTTATTCTGATTTTGTTTATTATCGAAGTAATAGTACTTATGATAAAACATTGAATAGAATACTGATTATCATTACTATATTTAGGTAATGAAGAGTGGTAGTGTGGTGCGTGCTACTTATATTGACATAAGTAGTATATGATGTTATTTGTGAACAGAATGTCTGGCAGCAGAGAGACAAGAGGATCGAACAGTAAAGAATGGAAACAGAATGCAATTTGTATGATAAATACACAAACAATGAAGTTTGAGTCATTTTGAGACAATTGGCGGACATTTTGAGAATTAAGCATTTACTTTATGATTGTTAGATTTTATTAACAAGTCCTGTAATTTTGTGTTAAATACATTCGATTGTCCCCATCTGTGTTCTGTTCACTACAGTAGCAGTGATACAGCTGAACAAATACTTAATTAAAAAATAGTAATAATTAAAATCGTTATTCATGCGCATACCAGATTAAGCCTTTTCAGTTGTGTGTGATAATTTTTAGATTATCTTGCGAAGAATACATTGTGATATGACTTAAATGTCAGCTGAATAACCAGACATATAAAGAAGATAATGTTGAAGACATTTTAAACTGCTTGACTCTCTATTATTGCACAGACGAAATACGTATAATGTAAAAATTGTGTAGTATACGTTCTCAATGATGAATACACTATACATGTGAACGAATCGGACGGAATCGGCAAGTTCACTCCGAATAAACACTAGTTTATCGTAACTGGTTTTCCAGAAAACAAATTAACATAATGAATAACAAGTGAAAATTATTACGATTTTTTCTGAATAGTTATAAATGACATGTCCTTTTGACGCTAAGAAAAATCAGCTAATTCACGTGGAATCGACCGTCTTGTGTTTGAGTCACACCTGTGGGATTATGGGTGAGCTCTATAGAGGAGTTCCATAAAAGGACGGCACATCTGGTCGGTGCTCCCACGTTTTTAGTGGTGATCTAACAGTGATCGGCTTATGATTTCAATGAATGAATTCGAACATTAGCATTTTCTCAAACTGTTCAATTTTAATTACGTATAATTTTACTTTACGTGCTCTATAGTGTAACATAATATTCTGTAGGCTGTTATTAATTTTGTCTTAAATTTAATATACAACTTTCATTTTGCTGTAATCGAATAAATTATGTAATGTATTTATGTAATCTCGTAATGTAATGTAGTGTAATCGTATAGTGATTCATGCATTGTGTGTATACAGTTGTACAGATACTTCACTAGGATCGATGATTTTATTAGTCATCTGTAAATTTACAAGCGCTTTAGCCCCATCTTCAGTTTTATCATTGGATATTGATAGCATTCAGATTTTTGCTGTTGGTTTCTCCTATTTCTTGTGCTACGGATGGGTATAATGTTTTGCTAGGGTTCTTATACGGACGGTCAGCTGTAATAAGCAGAATGTGTGAGTAAAATTCAGGAACTGGACCTGAATGAAAGGGCACAGAGATCAAACCAGACTTAGTCCAGCCATTCACCTCGGATATTTGTCTGGTCAGAGGCTATTGGTATCCCTATATAAAGACGTCTAATACTACTATCTCGTAAACAGACATACCCTGCTACTTACACTTGTAGGTACTATCAATACTTAGGACATCGGGAAATCGACGAGCTATATTTGCCGATCTACTTTTGAAACGAAGTAGGATTACAAACAGTCGATCACTTCATGATGAACCTGTAGTGTCGGTGATTATGCTAAGCCCATCTAGCTTATTCTAGCTTTCGCACAGGACAGTCTATTCATTCCACTTAAGTCACATTTTGACCTTGTTAATTATTCGCTTATCAATCTTGACTGCTCTTATATGAGCGCATATGTGTGTGCCCTTCTTATCTTATTCATCACATGTTTGTGACATATTTTTGTGTGACTTTAAATGTAGATTGACACTTGGTTAAATGGAGCTGGTTTACCCACCATCTCCACTGCGCTTCATTTTGTTTCGCTCTTTTCTCTTGTGTCTGGATCAAAGATTGTAAGAAATATACTTGTCCGAAATTCATTTTCACATTTGACTTATTGAATCGCGTTATTGACTAACGTGATTTATGTCGATGATTATGTACGAGGATAAGCGACACATACATTTCGACAGAAATCATGTAATAACAATCATTCATACGATCTACTTAGAGTCAGATCCCGGGCCACTAAACTCCTCTAAGCTCAATGATATATGTAGCTAACGTTTTCATAGTCAATACTTGGTAGAGACAATAACCAAGGTTACACTTGTAGTGACTTACTTTTATCACGAGAACGCGATTGGTTCAATGAAAACAATTATTATTATTATAACCAGTTGTACCAGTGCTAGTTTTAATGTGTTTTTGTTTAACTGTGCTAATTATGGCCATATTGTGCTTCCATTATCCTTCATCACTGTTTCGCGGTTCGTGACTCTGTTCGCACGTATTCCCTACTGCTGCTTCCGCTTGTACCTTCTCTTGGCATGACCTCGGTATTCATTCGATACCACGAGATCGCCAATTAATTAAACTTGGTTCCAATCCGCCTTCTGATTTATTTGGCACGTGTTTCCTTGTAGTGGTGCTCATAGTCAACTGGGACTCGACACCTCGCTACACACTAACTTTGAAGTTTCAATCGTTCAAGTAACAGTCATCGAACCTTGGACGCTTATTTCCTAACCGCAATTTGCATACACGAAACTGATAACAACGAAACCTGCAGCTCCGGACATCAACAAACGACGAAAGCTAAGATCAGTCTCATAAGTGATACGCAGCAGCCCATTATTGCAACAGATTGGCCAAGTGAATACTGCATAAAGTCTTTCATCAGCCGAATAAATATATAGGATTTACAACCACTACCAAGAGGCCATCTAGACCAATGGATAAAGAATTACCTGCGCAAAAACCTCGTGTCGCTTCAGAAGTTGTTGGTCGCTGAGTGCGATACTTCTTTCTGCATACATATTTCGTGTAGAAATCATTTAGATTCCGATGACTGTATTGTATTATGAAATGGGAAAGTCGCATCCTCGAAAGCGCTGAGTAGTCTCTGGAGTACCGCCTCCATCGTAAATTTTGCAGCGACAAACATCTCTCTGAAAATCAAATCAGCTTCAACGGCGCTGACTACAACTGATATTACTGAATCAAATTCACAACGTTTATGGGCTTAAAAATGAGCATTTTATTAGCCGTCTAAAATGACGCCGTTGATTAGTACAAAAAAGTATAGGTGAGTAGTGTGTGCACGATTTTAAAATACATTTCACGTCCTTCAAAATTTATTTCCGTTAAATCATAGTACCCAAATTTCTGGGTTTGATAAGAAGTGTTCTTTCTTGTGACTTGACTGGTTTGACTATAAATTGTGCATCGTTGTAATCTGATGAGTTACGATCAGTGTCACACTAACAATTTTGATTGAGAGTCAAAATTTGCATTTTATAATTTAGATCTTATTCTACTGAAAATATTTTGTCGGACAGTTTTACCATCATTGAATATAAAATCATAGAGGTATCCCAAAGAACGGATATGATCATCTTAATGTGTGATCTGGATGCCAAAGTCGGAATGGAATACACAGCTTATGAATATATCATGTGGAAGAGGAACCAAAATGGTGACCGATTTGCAAATTTATGTGCATTTAATGAATTAGTTATAGGTGGTGTAATATTCTCACACAAACGCATACACAAACCTACATAGATCATACCGGATCACACTACGCAGAACCAGATCGATCATATTTGTATCCGTAAAAAATTCAGAAGGATAATGGAATAAAAGAGAATAAGAAGAGCAGCTGACATGGCTTCAGATCACTAACTGGTGCTTTTCGAGCTGAAATACAAGCTTATGATGGACTGAGCAAACGGAGAAATAGCATTATAAAGGTTTGTTACAGCCTTTCTTTGAGATATTGACAAACTCAATGAATTCAAGATCGCTCCCAATAACAAGTTCCAAGCCTTACAAGATCTATTCAACGAAGAAGAAACTACTAAGGTGGATAATTGGATGGAAATAAGAAAAGCATGAACTTCAACGTGTCAGGAGTTTCTG